CTTCCTAATGCCGAGACCCTTTAATACAGTTCCTTATGTTGTGGTGACTCCCAACTTCAATGTTACAAATTGAACATAATTAAAGCATAGCGATTAATCACAAAAACAGTATGTAATTATATAAGTGTTTTCCGATGGTCTTAGGCGACCCCTGTGAAAGGGTCGTTTGACCCCTTGGGGGTCGTGACCCACAGGTTGAGAACGGCTGGTATAGATGAACCATTGGTTTGGAGTTTTCCTGTTCACTATGGGCTACTTAATGACAATGGGTGCTATGACCAAGGATAACTTAGGCAAGAGATGTGTTCTAAGATGGTTAGGTGAGACATGCCCCTTTGTCCCCTATTTGCACTTAGTGACCCCACTAACATCAATGGCACCTTGTTTACATTTAGTGTGATCCCTATGTAACTAATTTGAGACCTAGTACTGACTGCATGAGAATTTGTATATTACAGCAGGTGGCAAAATTATTCAAAACCTATGCTGTAGAGGCCCCCAAACTAAACAGTGCCTCTTGATCTTTTTTGTTGTGTGATTCTTTCAGTATATTTTAGATTTTCAATTGGATCAAATTATGGATCTCTGTTTCAGTTTTTTTTTTCTTGTTCCCTGCCTCTTGTCCTTGCCTGTTTGTTTGTTTGCTTTTGTTGGGGTTTTTTTGGTCTCTAAATATATCAGGGAATGTGTCCTCTCTACCCTGGTCTTTATATATTTTTTTCCCTCCAGAGGGCCTCAAAACACTACCATTAGGTTAGGAGCTTCCCTATGACAATTATTTTATAGAGTTTAAGGACCCTGAACTTACTTGAAATAATGACTTGGTTGTGCCACAAGGGTGCCCTGGGTGTTGTCCCCTTAATCCCAAAGGCCAGGATCTTCGTGCAGAAGGGGGAGCACAACAGGGGTACTTAAGAGTCTTGGGGAGCCCTCTGGTATAAGGGATGCGGACACAACCAGCCACGTACTGGCTGCCTTTGCCCTCTCTTCTTTCTGTTGAATAACTGCTCTTTCACAAGTGACAACTAGATAGGGCCATCTGCACTGTTGTGTTTACCCTCTTTTACCCCGATCCCTAGGGATGTTGGTGCCAAGCCAGCCTCTGTCACAGCTTCACTCTGATACAGATAAATCCCAGTAGAGACATCAAGCCAGGACCACTGTAAGGAGGGCCCTAATCCCATACTCCTGCTCCCAAAGGCCTAGAAATTCTCAGATCTGCACATTCTGGTTGGCAGCTCACCAAACTGAGGCTTGGTAGTCTCAGCAATGCCACACAGGGCACAGCTCACAGCAGAGCAGGTGAGCAAGTCAAAGCCAGAGGAGACAGACCAAAGTAGTGGTCATGTGGGGACATGCTGCTCACATAGCCAACTGTTATGGTCACCTGCAGAGGCGTGGTTCCCATGCTGAGATTAATGCTGGTGTGCACCCCCCAAAACACATACACACACACATATACACACCTGGAGAAGGCAGGATACAGCTTGACTTACATAATAGAGGTCTTTGAGAGGACAGGGCAGGCTACTCAAGAAGCTGTGAAAAAGCTTCAGAGAGCAAGGAAAAGAGCCTAGCCTGGGGTTTTATTGTGGCTGGAAGTGTGAAAGAAAAAAAGATTCGGTGGCACTTCTCAATAATGGTAAGGCACATTGTATTCAAAACCATTTCAACAGGTACAGAGACAACTGTGGTAGGATTTCTTAGTGGATGAGAAATAAGACTGGGCTCAAATCTGAGAACAACATAGGCAAGTGGGAATTCATGGCCTAAGGGCAGGTAGGAGATGGAATGGAAAATTACTAAGAATCAGATGTTAGAAGATTCCTGCTAAACTGACCAAACAGGATTCTTACTATAGATAGGCCAGGGGGATCAGACATCACCTGATGATGGAGGAGGAACCTTATCAGACATGGAGGGTGGTCAGATAGGAGGGTGGGGGATTCTGGATCACCTGACTTAGCAGGGTTCCTGTTAAACGGAGTTTTACAAGAAGTGCAAAGATAGGCCTAGGAGAAAGTTCAGGAGCCTGGCTAAAGTTGCTCAAGCAAAGAAGAATTTTGCACACACACAAACAGGGGCTTGTGTGGTTGGAATCTGAAGCCAGTGTCAGAGGAAGGAGCCCTGGACTTTCACATCAGCTTGTCCAGGGGTGGACAACAAGGAAAGAGGGAGGGGGAGGCTTAAGCTCTCAGCAAATACCAAACAATGTAGAGTCTGACTGCTCGTTATAAGGACAAACATGGGTAAGAAAAATAAGTATTTGCAATGACTTGTTTATATATAAAGAAACACTAACAGAAAGTCCAAGAAATGATCAACACTGTGTATTTGAGGGTGGCTGCAATAACATTGCTACAGGACCAGGATATGTGAGCAGTGGGTCTTCTTAGTTAGATTTTTCTATCTTACAAATTTAAGATAAACTCAGAAATTTAAATATACCATGTTTTACCATCTAGTAGTCCTTTAACTTTTTTTAAAATATATTTTATTGATTTTCTACAGAGAGGAAGGGAGAGGGACAGAGAGCTAGAAACATCGATGAGAGAGAAACATCGATCAGCTGCCTCCCGCACACTCCCCACTGGGGATGTGCCCGCAACCAAGGTACATGCCCTTGACCGGAATCGAACCCGGGACCCTTGAGTCCACAGGCCAACACTCTATCCACTGAGCCAGACCAGCCAGGGCAACTTTAACTTTTGTACATAGTAAAGTACTGTCAGAATTTGATCCCTTTAAACATAAACAATTATAAAAAGTATATACCACACAAAATAAAAAATTTCAAAATTCTTGCCAACTAAAAGGACAAGTTGCATCCTAGTTTGTCCCTTCTCTATATCTCACACAGGTGTTATTTGAGGAATAAGTAGCATATTATAATGCATTAGGGATTTCAGTTATGCTCCAAAAGGTAGTGGGGATTTTAAAGATAAGCTTTGATTACTTTTCCTTACATCAATTGAAATTATGACTCAGTTGTGCCACATCAATTACGTTAGCCTTTAAATTTCAACTAGAGGCCCAATGCACAAAATTCGTACAAGAGTAGGCCTTCCTTCCCCTGGCTGCTGGCACCAACTTCCCTCTGGCACTAGGGACACAGGCTTCCCTCGCAGGCAGCCTCAGCAACGTCCGGAATGTCTGCCGTCTGGTCTAATTAGCATATTATGCTTTTATTATTATAGACGTTCTTTAGGGACATGAATACTCACAAACAAACATGGATGTAAGAATGAAAAATGGATCTACGAGGTTAAATACATTTATCTCATATCAACAGGTTCTCTTGCTTAAAGGGAACAAAAATTCTATTTAGGTCCACTATTTACTTGCCTTACCAACATCATCTCTCTCAATCAACTTACATGTTTAATCCCAAGAAACCAAAAATCATATTTCCCACATAGAGAATAAACTTGCCAAGTGCTCAGGGAAACTAGAGTCAAAGGCTGCACTATTCAGTTGATAAAGGACCAAAAGAAACAAGTACTAGAATCCGCTCAGATGTGCAGCCTGCTTCCCACAGGACAGAAGGAAAGCCACTTTCAGAAGGTTCCACATCCCAGACTCTTCAGTTTGAGACAGAACCCCTGCAGTGGATTCTGTCCATCGGGGAAGGTGGGGAGGGACACCTGAGCAGCCCCAGGAGTGAAGTCTGGGAGCTCCTACACGCTCCTCTCCCCGGGGAATAATGGAATTGCTCCCTCTCTCAGGCTTCAGCTCACAGTGAGGATTGCTCAGCTGGATTCAGTGTCGGGTTCTGACCTAAATGAACTCCCAAAGTCACAATCCCTAACCCAGGACACCGACTCCTGACTTTCACAGACTTTCTCAATGTGCACAAATGACACTCTGAGTGCACCCACACTGGGGATGCAAAACTCCAACCTATAGGCCTAGAAACAGGCCCAGGGAATGCACAACTAAAACCTCAGAAGGAGCTTCACACTCCTCCCCCAGGTGTACCTGCACCCCCAGCTCTCCAGGCTATAGAGGCTCCTTCCATGGTGGGTGAGAGCAGGTAGGACACCTGCAGGGGGAGGCTCCCCAGAAAAAAACAAGCTGACCCTTCATGTACTTCCCTTTGCAGGCTCAAGGGGACCTTAGTTTGGGTCACTGACCATAGGCTCCCCAAAATGGAGCTGCTCTGGACTATCCTATATGTGTTCAATGACACAACGCCCGTTGGAACAATCTGGCAAAAACACTAAAACCCAGTCTTCAAGAAAAGGGATGAAAATTGTAAGGCTGATGATGGAAGGAGACTTGACTTGGGGTGGTAAACACACAATACAATACACAGATAATGTATTGTAGAACTATGTATCTAAAACCTGTACAGTTTTATCAACTAATATCACCTCAATAAATTCAACTAAAAACAAGAAAATTGTAAGGCACTTTGCTGACTGAACAAGAAACCTCGTAAGTATGTACTGGATTGTCAATAAAATAAAATAAAATAAAAAGATGTTCCGTCCATGCCTAGGAAAGATTCTGGGAGGTCCGGCAAAAGGATTTTATACAATGTAGTTCCGGTACAGTTCTCTCATGTAAAATATCCACAAACAAAAAATAAGCTCCATTAAAACAGCCATCCCTTGGACAAATTACAATATGGGTCTACATGGCACAGAATGCAGAATCTCAGAGGGAAGGGAGGGAAGGGGGGGGGGGCAGGAGATGGTGGGGGTGGGGGGGGGCGAGAGACCAACCAAAGAACTTGTGTGCATATATGCATAACCCATGGGCACAGACAGCGGGGCGGTGAGGACCTGGGGCGGGGCCGGCTGGAGGGAAATAATGGGGGGAAGAGGTGGACATATGTAATACTTTCAACAATAAAGATACCCCCGACCCCCGGGAGGAGGAGGGGGCTCATCTGCAGACTCCGAACCTGACCACTGGAGGCCGGGCCCGGCCACAGCCGGTTCCAACCAGCCCAGCCTCTCGTCCCAGCTCGGGGACACCCAGTCCCACACACTCACCATTTCCCAGCTTCTAGGGTCCCCCCGGCAACGCCCCTTCAGCTCCCGCTGGCGGCTTAGCTCACAGTGGGACTGGCGCTGACGCAGACACACCTGGGCCGTTAGCGTCAGCCTCGCAGGAGACACGTGACCCAGGAGCGTCCACACGGTTGGCTGGGTGTTGCTTCTGCGCCTCTGATTGGACAGTTCACAAAGACCCGCCTCCCGCATTTCCTAGCGACAACTCAGGGAACCAGCTCTGGCCTGGGGGTGAGAACTGGCCTTCAGGAACGGTTTGTTCTTCTTTTTAAGTTTTTATTCATTTTAGGGAAAGGAAGTGGGGGGGGCCAGTCAGAGAAATATAAGTATCTTATGACCTCACTTATGTGGAATCTAATCAACTAAATATACTGGCAAACAAAATAGATCCAGAGACATTGAAGCATGCAACAGACTAATGAATTACAGAGGGAAGGTGGCAGGGAATGAGAAGAGATTAACCGAAGAACTTGTGTGCATATATGCATAACCCATGGGCACAGACAGCGGGGCGGTGAGGACCTGGGGCGGGGCCGGCTGGAGGGAAATAATGGGGGGAAGAGGTGGACATATGTAATACTTTCAACAATAAAGATTTTTAAAAATTAGAAAATAATCACATTGCTCAACTATAAAAAAAAAATAAGTAGAATTTGGGTCTGTTTGAAATGCACCCTGAAGGACAAGTAGTCGATTATGATTCTTGAATCAGAAAGGGGAATTGGCGTTTGGGAATAGAGGGAGGGAGGGACTTGGAAATTCGGGCAGTTCTTGTCAGATTGCGGTGGTAGAGGGTCCAGAGTTGTGGGTTTGAGACCCCCGCTCCCTAAACATTGGGGAAACTCAGGAGAAAACGGGTCCCCCTGCAAAGGAAGCCCACGCAGGAAACCACGGAGTCACGACTGTCCCCTGATGACCCTCCCTGTGGTCACCACACCACCTGGGGGGCTCAGGGGGCGGGCACGGA